GGAGTGAAGAAATTAGAATTGAGATGGATGGGATGGGGGCGGGGGGATGAGGGGCTGAGAAGCCTTAAGACAGATGACCAAGGGAAAACGTACAATCTTTTCGATGGTTTAAGAATTAAAGGAGCTGTCCTTAGACTGGGATTATCCTGGTGGGGCCTGGAAATACCCAATGGTGTCAGGTTCGTAGTCAACCCCAAAGTTTTGACTGAGTACTTGAGTCTCTAAATGCAGTGGTAGGCAATGTGGGGGAGTATAAAACACAGTCTCTACCTCCAAGAAGTTTATAATCTGTGTATAGGGGAATCAAGGAAATGATCATTTGGACTGATCAGGGAAGGCTTTGTGGAGGGAGGAGTGGGTCTTCTGATGGCCTAATAAGACTGAATACATTTGGGATATGCAGATTGGAGGGAAAGGCATTCCAGGTAATGGCAACTACAAGATCCAAAGCCCCCCTTGGGGCTACTCAAACCTAAAGCATGGCATCAGAGTCTTGCCTCCATTTAAATTACATTTTTATGGGGAAGAAGGGTGGTCTACTGAAAAGAGGAATGAGGCATTTCATTTTTCTTATAATTTGGTGTCACTCTCAATCAAATAAATTCTATTAAACTTAGGAAAATAGGCACACTCATTGAGAGGTTTTGGCTTAATATTTGTCAAGAAAGCAAATTAATTAAACGTAACTTAAATGCATCCACTCAACATTTACTGAGTACCCAACTCAATAAATGCCAGGCACTTGTCTAGTCACATTGTATAGGGGCAAACAAGATGTTTCCTCATAACATACAATAAAGAGATGTAAGATGCTCGTGTTTTTAATTTTTTAAACACAAAAATGATGAGTTTCCTTTTTATGAAGAGTACACAATTGATGTGGCCATTTACTTACGGAGTTTCAAAATAACAAAATGACGATAAGGACACTAACATAACACCAAGGATTCCTTTCACAAACCTTGGGGAAGTGTATTTTAAAGGAGCATTGCTAATACTTGTCTAAGGATTACTCATATACATACACATACAGTATGACTGGTTTTGTTTTTAATCAGAGCATTTGAGTGTAGGAAGATAGTGATCAGCAACATGCCAGAAGAAATAAAGAAATTTCTACCAGTCAAAAAAGCATTACGATGAGTGAGTGTCTAGAGCAATTTGGAGGTGGCTGAATTCCCCAGCCCCCTGCTCCTTTTTCTTAAGGACAGAGCTAAAATATAATAACAACAATGTGAGGCTACAGAGCCATACATCTGTTTCTGATTTACTTTCTTACTCCTGTCCTAGTTGGAGTCATTTCTAGATCATATAGTACAGTCTTCAGAGAAGTTATGGGAGGAATTTACACAGAAAGCGAATACATAATTAAATACACATATAAAAACACATCATCAGTAGAATGTGGATAAGGAACATATGCAAAAATTCTGATTAGAAAATCATCCCATGATTCTTCCATTTTCTGATTTGTACTACTCAACCCACAGCTGACAGTGTTCAGTTATTCTCTTGATTTCAGGATGTCAGAAAACTATCCCTTGATCCACCTTCTTGGTTTCTTACTAGAGTGACACTGGCATTCTGTAAACCTAGAACTAGAGATGAATCTAAAAGTTATTTCCTATTTTCCTTCAAATGTTAGGATTAAATTTTCTAGTGCTAAACCTGTTACATTCCTTAAATTGCTTCATTAGGGTCCAAGATGGAATCTGCTAATGGCTAGGACATTATGTTTTAAATTCAAAAGGGTAGTTTTGCACATGGTGCATGCTTAAATAGAGATTCCAAACTATTTACATCTATTTTCTAGTCATCTTTCTTGTTTTATAAAAGCTATGTATACCCTCTCCAAATAAGTTTTTATTTTGCTCATTTTGAACTATTTTCCATATATTGTTAATTTTTTTAAAGCACTCAAAACAGAGGTCAAGGTCAATTTTATCCTTTTAGTTCTTCTGAGAAAAAATTAATAGGTCAAGTTAAGCTCTTGAATTATGTTGCAATTACTTTGCTGAACTTTACTTTAATAATTTTCTCACCCAATTTGCAATTCCTTTCCTAAGATCATGCCTTTTCACTTTAGATACCTAAAATGTCATTATTTACTAAATATTTGCCTTAGCACTGACCTTGTGGTTACTTTGTTGAAAACCTTGCTGTAATGCGATACAGCATTAACTACTTCCGATTACTTATCTGGTAAGTGGTTATAACATCCACCTTTCAAGAAAGGAAAACAGTTCAGACATATAATTTGACAAAATTAGGAAATAGCAACATCAGTTCTAAAGACATAGGAAAAAATCTGAACAGAGTTGACATTTCTGTCTGGTGTTAGTGTTCTTTAAAGACCACAGACAACATGCACAAACGTAGCCGGAAACAATACATCTGCAGACACTGGCAGAGAGCATTACCCGCCAAATTTGGCCAGTTTCTTAAGATAAATAACTTTTCAGTGACGTGTAAGGCTGAAACTACATAAACAACAGAAATTACTAAGACTTAAGCCTACGAGTTTTGTGGGTTTCAAGATTTTATTCAATCGATATTCTGACATCTGTAACACCATTTTGTCCCTAAATACTGCCAGAAACAGTAAGACAGCAACATCACTTGATAACTTTTGTTCAGATTTTGAGGTAAACTATGTTTAATTCTTTGGAATAACCATTCTTGAGCCACATTCTTATTTGGGTCATTAAGACAACCAAAATCATCTATCTCCTTATAAGGAAAAGTTTCATTAAAAGTGCTGGAGAGCTGCAGCCTGTTTCAAAAACCAATACTTGTAGCTTGTTATATTAATAGTTCTAAATGTCTAAGGCTTATTAAATGAAAACACCCTTAATAGTTTTATCTCAAGTCTGAGCAATAAGAATTTTTAAAAGCTGACAATGAAAAATAGCTGAATATTCTGAGAACTTCCATAATAATAGGAAATGGTATTAAATAGTTACCTTCTTAGTCTTTCCCTTGAAATGACTATTCTGCCTGATTAAACTTAGGGAGATATGAAAAGACTTAAAAACCTGAAGAATATGCATATGGAAGCTCCTGGCTAATTCTGATTCAGCACATTGGGAATATTTGCCAAAACTTGAGGCAATATTCTCCAGTGGTATTGAATTCCCTGAGAACTGATTTGTGACACTAGGTATCTTTTTAAACACTGTTTGACTTTACCGCCCTCCCCCCTTGCATATCACCCAAGTTCTGCCCTAAAAGTGACATTAATGAAAAGTTAAAACAACAGCTCTGAATTTTAAATATTCTTAGAGAATGTTTCCCTCCCTGCCCTTTTGGTAAATTTTTCTTCCCCTTAATTTTCTGACTATATGTTAACTTGACTGTAAGTCAAAAAATTTAGCTGTGTAAAGACTTCATTTTGGTTACTGAGATGGTTTACTGTTTTACTATTTGTGACAAACATCCTATATATTAAGTCAATGAGCACCTTTTCTGTAGAAAAATCTACTATCTTTCTTTTATTACTTAGGTTAGGCCAAATTTGTTTACCTACTACCTTGCTATTTGCTAAAGAGAGATCATTTATCAATCTCAAAATACTCCCAGTGGTCAATACTTTTCTTTTTTTTAGAAAAAAGCTATCATTTTTCAAATTATTCTGACATAAACAATATAAAAGGATAACTTTATTAAACATACAAATTCAAGAACATTCAAGTTTTCATTAAAATATTACAACATAAGAGAGAGCAGACCAATGGTAATGGTTTATACATACATATATAATATACTTACCAAATAGATTAGGTAGGCATACTGACCTATCAATCCTCAAAGTAAAATGAATATATGTCCCTAAGCTGTTTTTAAACTCTATGACTACTAAATGGGAAAACTGTCAGCCGATACACCCTCCCAGACTTATTTCCCATAGGAAGTTTGATATACTGTCATTACTATGTATCATTTTGGAACATAAATAATATGTAAACCTCTATCGTAGGTCCTTTTCTTCTTTGCCTACCTCATTACTGCTCTTCCCAACCCACCTAAGACTCTAGTAATTATTCTTCTCTGAGCAGGACCAGCTCAGTCAAAATAGGATATAGAGATTTGGATGGCTCTAGGCAGAGGAAAATCTCCAGTATTTTCCATTGTGTTTACTTTTTCTTTTAGCAGCTATCTAATTATATCTAAGATGGTGGGAAAAAACATATACACTCAAAAGAAAAAAGAAAAGCGCTTTACACCATCAGCCTTCACCTCGGTCCTGCAGCTTCCCCTTATCAACCACTGTATGCATTTTAATTGTAAACACACGCAATATTTATTAAAGCACCCAGAAACTTTGTGGTAAGCACCATATAAGCACCACATAATTTCCAAGGAGAATGTTTCAGATGGAGGCAGAGAAGGAAGAAAAATCAAGAGAAAACATGGCAATTCACATAAAAATGCTTTCATGAAATATTTTTTAAAAAGTAGATAAATTCAATTTTAAGTGATATTTTACCCCATGACCAACATTTTCTCACTGTTTTAGTGTTCATAAAAGGCATAATAATACTTCTGGAAAAGGAAATTATCTTCCTTACCTACAAAATTGTTAAGAGCACCAGCACCAGGTTGAGTTTCCCAAAAGTATACATAGCTCATAGCTCCAAGAATCAGTAAACTAAGTCTTCTGACTCATTTAATCCCTATCACATCCATTAATTTTAATTAATTAAAATTAAAACTGCTCCTTTTTCTGTATATGGCAGTGAAAAGTAGTCAGGGAAACTAAAGATCTGATTTTACTTGGGTTGGGTAAACTTAAAGAAGATTGTGTTGTTAGTACAAAGAACTAGTCCCGGCATTTAAAGTAATCTTAATCTGTATTTCAGAATCTGCCACCAAAGCAAATACTAAAATTTTAAAATAAATTATTCACCTTGCCCTGGCTTTTAAATGTATGGCTATTACATAGAACTCTTTTTATTCCACCTCACAATGCGTAACAGTAAACATTAAATGAAGAACCACAATTAAAAGTTCATATCTTTAAAAAACGGGTGCAACAAAGCTTCTTCTGCTGTTATTCTTGAAGCTGGATTTAGATCTAGAAGTTTATCAAGCAGGTCGTAAGCTTCATCGGGTACCTCATCCCAGCCTTCTAAATTGGTATTACACTCATCAAAATGACTCCCACAGCCATTACTGTCCCCTTTATATAATGAATTCCCTGAGTGCTGTGCTTGAGGTGTTTGGATGAGGTGAGAAGCTTTAGGGTCAGTCTTCTCTGAAACAGTTGGGTGAAGAGAAGCAGGCCTTTGTATATCACTTGTTAATTTGGGAGTGTTGGAATCTATACCCCTGAGTCTCTCACAGAGTTTTCTCAAATCTTGTGCTGGAACTTCTTTGCTACATAATATTGATTTGCCTAAAAGAAAAAAAAAATGCACATTTTATTATATTATTTAAATATATCAGAAGCCTCTCTCATGAGAAACATACAAGTCCAACCAAGTGCTTTATGGATATATACACACACAGGCTATGAGACAGAATACCACATGCTATATTTAAGTTGCTTGCACTATACAGTTAAAGGCCAAACGAGAAAGTGGGAGATATTAAGTAGAAAGCAGTGACTTAACCATGCTACACGAGACACTCACTTGACTCTGCCAACTTTTCCAGCTTCCTCTTATCCTTCTGTAATCTATCTGCAGCTCCCACCCCCAACCCCCTTCCATGCCTCTAACTACATGGCCCCTATCTTTGCCTAGGATGCCCCATACCTCTTATGTGTCCAGGACACTCCCACTTACATCACCACTCAGCTCAAGAATCACTTCTGTGAGGACTGACATCCTCACAGAGAACTGATCATTTTAAGCTTCTGTCGTATCCTGGGAAGAGTTCTATTATTAGTTTTGCTATCCTATATTACAACTGATAAAATATATGTCCCCCTACTAGACAATGAACTCTTTGAAGACAGGGGCTGACTTATTCATCTTTGAACCCCCGAAAACCCAGATAATGGCTAATACATATTAAGTGAGCAGTTAATGTCTGTTGGACTGGACAAAAAGGCATTATTAGAGACACATCATTAGAGATGCTGTTCTTGACCAACCTAACCTAAGTAATTGAGCCCTCTTCACTCCCTTCCTCCTTTTACCTTTCTCAATACTATTCATTTCTGAGTAGTGTATATTTATTTATTTTCTCTCCTTCAGTAGAATTTAAACTCTATGAGAATAGAGACTCACAATAGTATCTGGCATACATGAAGCCCCAATAAATGTTTCTCAATGAAGTAATAAACAAACCAGATCTCAGTTTTTTAAAATATAAGTATCGGCCGGGCGCGGTGGCTCACGCCTGTAATCCTAGCACTCTGGGAGGCAGAGGCGGGTGGATCGTTTGAGCTCAGGAGTTCGAGACCAGCCTGAGCAAGAGTGAGACCCCGTCTCTACTAAAAAAAATAGAAATAAATTAGCAGGACAACTAAAAATATATATATATAAAAAATTAGCCGGGCATGGTGGCACATGCCTGTAGTCCCAGCTACTCGGGAGACTGAGGCAGGAGGATCGCTTGAGCCCAGGAGTTTGAGGTTGCTGTGAGCTAGGCTGATGCCACGGCACTCTAGTCCAGGCAACAGAGTGAGACTCTGTCTCAAAATAAATTAAATAAATAAATAAAACATAAGTATCAAACATGGGCAAAAATAAGTTAACCACACAAATGGCACTCATATATTATTTTTGCCTTATATTTTCTTATTAAACAGAAATGTGGCTCTAAACAATGAGTACAACATTTAGATTCCTTTCTGGGCTATGTAGATTGTCAAAAAAACAATTAATCTGGCTCTGGATGATAAAAAGTTACCTTTACACATTTTAAGCCAACTGTTGGACTGGTATACTAAGTAAGGAAAAAATAAGGTGACAAGTAGGGAGGAAACAAATTACCACAAACTAAGTTTATTGAGGATTTAACATACCAATCCTTTTTTATTTTTAAATCGATTCTATCATTCCTATTCTCTCTAGAAAATCATAGCCAGAGGGAAATAATCATATAATTTTATTCCTTAATTTATTAGCTTGCTCTGAAGTCATGAAATAATGAACAGTATATGTTACAGCATGTCTTCAAGCTATAAAATATGCTTAAATTACTTTTTTACATGACCAAAGAGAGGGCTCATTTAAAATATTCAGGGAAAATAATTTAAAATAACACATTTGATCAAAAATATTTTGTTACAGAATACTATGTGTCAGGAATTTGTTTTAGCTCAAGGTTTTTCTTTTTAATTTATTCAACACAACTCAACAAGTAGTTAATGACAACCCACAATGGGGCCAGGTCTAAAGGTTAAGGACAGTGAGGCAGGTTACAGACAAAAGAAGTAAAGGTGCTCTCCTTGCTATTCTCAGCCAAGTCATTTCTGTAAGTCATAAAAGGGGAACACTTGTGTTTGTTGAAATTTTGAGTCTTCTGTACTCAGTCCAAAGTTATAGTAATATCTGACTGAAATAACTATAGAAGTCATACTAATAAAACTGAGATAAGTGCTATATAGTATTATTCTTTTTTTAATATGATAATTATTACAACGATAAATCTCTACAAGCTCTTGCCTGCTATTATGGCACTTGCTCTGGAGTATTTTTGTGCCAGATGTTGTACTTCCATTCTTGGCCCTGACTCTAACTTTGACTACCACTGGGGGAGATTTGAGCTCTTCAACAAAATATTCTGGTGCTAGCTGATACACTTCATGTTCATAAACTTCTCACAAAGTTATTCAATAGTAGATGAAAGTTTTCTCAATTAGTTGAGAATACACATACTCATGTTATGTTTATTACCATGTAAGAATACTATTTCCTAGATATCAATCTTGCTTTCCATTCCTAGTCATTTTTCCCTTGTATGTATTATGTCATCCTATTATCCTCAAATAAAATTTTTTTGCAATAGGTACATGGTAGGTTCAAACTATAGATTGACTATGCTGCAGAAACATATTTTCGCAAGCCTCTATTAAGATGAGGCTTTCTTCACAACTACCACTAAGTTTTTCTTGTGGATTAGATCACAGCACTGCCCCTAAGTAAGGGCAATTATTTTTGTTCTTAACCACAAGTAGTTCTTGGTCAAAATCAATTGTTTTTTCAAACTAACAAGGCTGCAGCCTTCCTAAGTTATCATATTTTTCTGAATCACATTTTCCAGGAATGAGTAGTATAGGGCAGGCATATGTGTTTCTCAAAGATTCCCAGGTAATTCTCATACACACCCCTGGTTAAGATCCACTAATTCTGGGGCTGAGCACAAGGCAGCCCAGCTACTTTTGAGGTAGGCCGATTGAAACTTTGTACCATAGGGGTACTCCATATTGCATGAGAGTAAGCTGACTCAATCACACTCACTCTTTGGAAAATATTAACTATAAGTATGCTTAGAAAATAAACACAAGGTGGGCACTTGAGTTCAGGCTGTTGGTCTCAGCAAGGCTGAGATAATTCTCAGTTGCCCTACAAAATACAATACATATCCCAGGCTTAAAGAAGAATTTATGTGGCTGAGGAGATAATTTCCCATGTCCAACAAATACTTACAAAAATACTCCATCAGTTTAAGTGTTCTATTCATTTTGCTTCTCTGCTACCCTAACCCTAAGGAATCTGACAACTAACACACATTTCTAGTCTCTTGCCTATTGTAGCCCTTATTATACTGTATTATAATTAACCGTTTACTTGTTAGTATAGACTAAGATCACTAAAGGCAAGGACATTTGAGTACCAAGTACCACAATACCAATTGTGTCTAAACACACTAAAAAAATTAAAACATACTATTAAAAATATTTACGTAATAAAAGTCAAACCACAACTAAAGGGAGTTAAGATTTTACTCCTTATTCTTTTTTTTTAAGATTAAAGTTGGACTTTAAATACTGGAGCAGTATAGTACTTTGTGTTTAATAAAATTAAATGATACATATATAGAGGAGAGGTGATAAGTTATTTTCTTATACAAATGCAATTCATTTTCAAGCGATTGAGAAATTTTCTACCTAAGATTAAAGAACTTTATAAACACTGAATATGTTTATTTATAAAGAGAATTTCATAATAATTTATTGAGTGATCTGTAGGAGATAATCAAAGTCATTTGTTTTGTTATATAAAACTGCTTACCAAAGGTTTTAGCAGCCTGGATAGTTTCCCTGGATCCCCGAATTGTCATAATTTGAGCCAAAGCAGTTAAATCATCACTTGCTTTATAAAATGGATATCGTCCACTAAGCAGAGAAAGAAATATGACACCTGCAGACCACATGTCAATTGCTGCAACACAAGACAAATTTTAAAAATAAATTCCAAATTTATAATTTTATCCTCTAAATCAATAGTTCTCAACCTTTACTATGCATTAGAATCATCTTGGGAGCCTTAAAAAATTCAAGGCCCAGGCTCGATCTCTCAGAGATTCTGACTGAATAGCTCTGGAGTAGGGCTCAGGCACTGGTATCTTTCAAAAGTTCCTCAGGCGATTTCAACCGGGATTGAGAATCCTTGATCCAACAACCTCCCACAAAATATAATGTTTTCTTTCTTAAACAATACATTGGTAAGTTTAAGAAGATATTTCATCATTAGAAAACAGTAAGTAAATGTGCAAAGAAATAAAAAATAAGATCAAAAGAAATCTAAAAATAACTATGTGGGAAAAATATCTGGATGCTCCTCAAGAATTACATACCATAATACTGAAAGTGTTTTCATTTTAATGAAAAGTAATGAACATTAGCAGCTCTTCTTCAGCTAGATGCTAACACCAATTATTGTTTTAAAAACGTTAATCTCCAGAATTCCAGCAGTTAAGATTAAGACCAGCTCAGGGTTGGGCGCGGTGGCTCACGCCTGTAATCCTAGCACTCTGGGAGGCTGAAGTGGGTGGATCACTCAAGGTCAGGAGTTTGAGACCAGCCTGAGAAAGAGCGAGACCGTCTCTACTAAAAATAGAAAGAAATTATCTGGACAACTAAAAATATATATAGAGAAAAAATTAGCCGGGCATGGTGGCGCACGCCTGTAGCCTCAGCTACTCGGGAGGATGAGGCAGGAGGATCGCTTGAGCCCAGGAGTTTGAGGTTGCTGTGAGCTAGGCTGATGCCACAGCACTCTAGCCCAGGCAACAGAGCCAGACTCTGTCTCAAAAAAAAAAAAAAAAAAAGAACGGCTCAGCTTCATGTTAAAAGCTCTTTTTTTTTTTTTCCTTTTAGGGACATCTCTCCTAATTGTTGACCTTCTAGTATCACCAATTTATTTGCTCTCTATTCCCTTGGTCACTGTATCACTTGCCTTTCTTAGTTCTCTTTGTACTTCTGCCTGCTCCTTCAATATTTTCTCTAAGACTTACGTGCTGAGGTTCCTCCAAGTTCTAACATTTTCCCTTGTATACGCTCCCTGATTGGTCCATCCAGTTCATGGCTTCAACTACCATTTATATAATGATGACACTCAACTGTATTTCTAGCTCAGCTCTTTTCCTAAGCTTCAGTCTCAACTTTTACTCCGTTGGACATCTCTATCTGGACGTCCCCCCAAAATACCTCAAACCAGTCTCACACTTCCCTGTTATAAACCAGTTACTACTCCTTTATTGTCCACCGTGGTTACCAACATATACCAAAGTCCCCTATGATAGGAATCACCATCCCACACCCAAATTCCACCTAATTACCCACCAAACTCTGCCTTTCCAATCCTTGACCTTTCTTTTCGTTCCTATTACCAATGCTGTCATTCACACTTTCATCATTTTTCACCCGGACCACTGCAGGCTGTATCTCCAAAATCTATCCTCTCTGCATATCTGCCAGAATGATCCATCTAGACTACAATATTACCATCTTTTTCTCTTGAATAATTTTCCAAAATCTACATCTACAGTTCAAGATGTTTAACAAGTGTGATTTGACTTTGTCTACCTCTTTCCAGGTTTATTTCTTACTATTCTTCAACTTGCATATTAATATTCTAGCAACACTAAACTTGTATACTTTCCTATATGACTAGACTATTTCTTGAGTTCCCTGGCTCATGACTCAAGGCTAACCTCCCACCTTAATTTACATTCTCATCCCAGAGGTCATCTCTTCCATGAATTCCCTCCCATAATCCCTTTGGGTTAGAAGAGTTAGATATCCTTTAAACACCCTGTATAGTTGTATCATCATACTCAACAGGTTATAATTATTTAAGAGTGTGTTCTTAGAGTATGAACAGATGGTCTCATTCATTTTTGTATCATTAGCAAGCACAGAACAGACACACAATGAATGAATGCATTTTTTCAAAGCCCATAATCCAAGTCAACAGCAGGTTCATCTATTCATTCAAGATGTTTCCTGGGTTCTAGCTCCATGACAACTTTTTAGATTATAGAAGATTTTTCTCTTTTCAAAATCTTTTTTTTTTTTTTTTTTTTGAGACAGGCTCTCACTCTGTTGCCCAGGCTAGAGAGTCATGTCATCATAGCTCACTTGCAACCTCAAACTCCTGGGTTCAAGTGAGTCTCCCACCTCAGCCTTCCGAGGTAGGTGGGACTACAGGTGTACACCACCACACCTGGCTAATTTTTCTGTTTTTGTTAGAGGTGGGGTCTTACTATATTGCTCAGGCTGATCTCAAACTCCTGGTCTCAAGTGATCCTCCCACCTGGGCCTCCCAAAGTGCTAGGATTATAGGCATGAGCATGGTGTTTTGCCTCAAAATTTTTTAACTGCTATTATATTGTTTATACAATAACAAAAAGTAATTTGAACCAAACACAATTATATCTGCATCACAGAAAACTTTTGAGGTATTAGGCAAACAGATAAAATTCTACAAGTCTTAAGTTAGCAAAAAACTATTAAACATGATTTTTTTCCCCACAAAGGTGATGATAACAACATTCCTGATAAAATCATCTTGTAAATAAACAAGCAAAATGTAATCTATGGAAAAAAATTGTTAAAAAAAAAAAGCAACACTAGGATTCAAACCTTTTCATAGTATTTGTAATTGAAAATTAAAAAAAAGGGAAAAAATAGGATTAAAAATTTTCATAAAAAAATAGTATTATCTCAAAAATGGAAATGTCGAACTGCTTACGTAATTTAATTAAAAGCAGAAGAACTCAAATATTAGTCATAAATAGAAAAAGATCATAAAATAAAATATATCTGGAACAATCCATTTGAATTGGGTTATGTATTTCCAGTGCAACATACCTGTAGTTTGATTGGGGCACTTTGTCAAGACTTCTGGTGCTCTGAATCCTGGTGTACCTGCCCTAGGGGCAACCTGCTGATGCCTTATGATGAAATAAGATTTCTTTAGTTATGTTAAAGTTGAACTATTTAAGTCCAAAATATAACATTTATCAATTTAGTTCACAGTAAATTTTGCCTTGATACCTATATACATAAAAGTTATTATAAAGTAAATCTAGCATGATGAACATCCTAGATTTTGCTTCTATTGGTTTTTTCTCCCTCTACTAGCTCCCTGGACTTACTCCAAGAAAGGTTTTGTGGTAACTTCTGAGCATAACAATAGGCAGTAGATACTAAAAGCCATAATAGAAAAATAGAACACAACAGGAATTTGGAGGTATAAAAATTCATTTCTGTTTGGGGTAATTAATTACTGATTTACTTATTCACTTATATATTTGAGTTAATCAGGAAAGCCTTGATGAAAGCTAAGTTTTAAAGAATGGAAGGAATTTATGAGGCAAAGAGTAGAAGACTGGAGTAACAGAAGAGCTTACTACTTGGTTCTGATTATTCCACACAGGCAGGAATAAAGAGACAAAACAGGAAAGATTATATCAGCAAGCAAAATGTACAACTCTAAGCTCCTAAAAAGGCTATTCTCCCCACCACCATACCATTTGCATTAAGAGCAAACGTATTTTCCAAAGAGCATGTCCATGTCAAATGAACAATAAATGACAATAGTTACCCTTTGCTCTTTAAGGTGGTACTGCTCTGTATCAGTGCCTATGTAGTTTACAGATCTATTAATGTGTTGTTGCCTTTCACTCACTAAATCAATTGCCCACCAAAATCAATGCAATTTCTAACCTTGTCTGGCAGCATGCTGGTGATTTTATAATACCATCAAAAGACATTACCTTGAAAGGCAAATACTGCAAACTTTATCTGTTGCATAGCAATCACAGGTCAGGCTAGCTGGGCAAGAACTGGCAGTTTTCCTCAACATACCACTATTCATAACTTTTGTAGAAATAGTCTTCTTTTTTGTTGCTAACTTTCTAGACAGTACATCCACAGTCTTTGACTGCTTCATGAGCTGTAAAAGAAAAGTCAAATTTTCTATTTTCATGACATTTAACACAATGCTCTCAAATGTTAGTATGGCAAAAAGCAATAGCAGAAGCATAACTTTAAAAACTTTAAAAACTGCTAACGTGCTGTTGGATTATAAAAAAACAGCTGTCTATTAAAATGTTTAAGACCTTCTGGGTTTTTCTGTAGAATAATAATCTTACGTTAAAATTCACTAATTAGTCCTAGTTTGGCAAATATTTGACTTATACTTTATTAGAACTTTTTTTGATATATTACAAAAGCATAAAACAGTAACATTCTAGTGTCTAACTCCATTTCAGAACTGTAAACTGCATAATTACATTGGCTAAAATTAGTTTTAATGTATTAGCTTATGCTGTCTAGCTGTTGCAAGATGTAAGTAAATTTAAAACCATCTAACATTGATGACAATTTTGTTAACTTTACAAACATCTTTATGCTATCAACTATGTGTCAGAACTATGTTTAAGTGTTGGAAGCTCACATTCTAGCAATGACAGAAAAGGTCTTAATGTTCTAAATGTTCTTCTAGGAAAACAGCAACAATAGTCAGCTAACCAAAAATGATAAAAAATTCCACCAGAAAAGTTCAGAGAAAACAAAAGTTTTGACTAAATCCTCAAAGCAATACCTCTGCCAAAACCAAACTCTACTTTTAAAAAATTGCTAATAATAAATGTTAATCCAGCAATTACCTAAATTCTCTTCAGTGTATGACTGATCATTGTACTATTAAGCTACATTACTTACTTTCATTGCAGGGCTCTCATGTGAAATGGAGCTGTGTATATTGAAATTTCTTTCTCCAAAAACAGAGCGCTGGGCAGAAAGGCCTACAGATCCCTCCTACAATACCAACAAAAACAAGGAAAATAAGGATTATATCTGTAACACTTTCTGCCAGTTGTACTCAGCCACAGTTTTGAAAGAGTTAAGTGACATGAAATAAAAACAGCTGCATTCAAGTCATTCTCAGGCACCAAAACACTTCTGTGAAAGGAGAAAGTAGTCTAGACAGAACTCAACACCCATACACAATGTTATCATAGTCCATGAATATATATAACTAAAAGAATTCAAAAACCACCTGCATGGATGTTACATTTTGCTGTGCCGCTAAAATGGAGATAGATACTTCAGAATTTTCCCCCTATAATTTCTTTCAAAAAGGACAATTTAATCTGAACTTTTTAACATGCAGGGAAAATGTATTATTTTCCATTTTTTGTCATATAATTTTGTAATACATAATGACAAAGCATTATAAATCGACGAAATAAATTTTAGTTTTGAAATAATGAGCAAAATGATTCAGTGTAAATTTTAGGAATCCAATCAACTGAACACATACAACGAACGTAAAAAAAAGTTTTTTAAATTACAAGTACTATCCCAGTATTATATCTCCCTCTATTGGTAGAAGGAGTACATTTCTCAAATAGTGTCAATACTTAAGAAATAAAAGAGGTAGAACCTTTCCATCTTTTCCTTGTTTAATCTGAATTTGTGCATTTGTGTAAGGCCTTTTAACACAAGTTTTTGTGGTAGATTGTTGATCTAGCTCCTTAGGTGCTGGGTCACTCAATGAAATCTTATTTCCCGTCATTATGTGGGATTTGTTTTGTGAACAACTTTCCTGCTGAGTGTCAGACTGGACAAATTTGAGAAGCTCTATTTTCGTATCATGGGTTCCTTGGGCCAAACCGAAGTCTACCAAGGCGTACCTAAGAAACAAAATTAAGCATTTTTACTTCTTTGTTAACAAGTAAAGCTTAGTAATACTGTAATACCTTCAAATCATCCTCATATAAATAATGGTAATTCTTTTGGGGAGCAATTAAGAATTTATAACATTTCTGAAAAAGGCAAAGAAAAATAAGCTTTCCAGACAAAGTAAGAATTTAATAGCTCACTAGGATTGAAAATTAAGGAAGATGTATCCTACAATCAATCAATCAATGGATCATTTTTGTCTTTTTTCCAATGGCCTGTGCTGATAAGGCAAAAGAGCAACATATAATATAAGCACAGTTCTTTGTTCTCTGATGGTGTCAGAGATAGCATCAGAGATAGCATCACAGCAGATAATCTCTAATTAAGCAAGTTAAAAAAAATAAAATCATGATTTTAAAATTGAATTTAATTAAAGAGAAAAGTCGTGGGTATAAAAGCCAAAAAAAGAAGTTATAGTTTTAATCTTCTTACCATACTCAATATGATCCACTATATAAAGAGCAGTATTTAAGTTATTTTCAGCTTCTAATGCCTCTATGTATATAACAAGCATTAAATATACACAGATAAAAAATAGAATGTTAGTGTTGAAACAGGAAATTAACTACCATGTGATTCAATCTCATTATTAGATAAGAAAAATGAAGCCCAGAGATAAGAGACATGTGTTAGGTTAAAAAAGATTATACTGGAGGATGGGGGGGTTGAAAAAAAAGGATTAGACTCTTTCTAAGTCCTTTTTAGCTCAGTGCCATTTCCACCAAACCATGATACATCTAATGATGTTACATTGCTTTACTAATACAATTTTATGTTCTCCTTCACTGCATTTCCCTTCTCAATTACAATGAAAATTTAAAACAGAAACAATCTGTTCATGGCTGTTGCAGTATGTACTATGTCTAAGAGAGGTGGGTTGGAGGACACAGTAGCAGATATGTAGGATAAACAAATCTAGAGATATACTGTACAGCTGCAGTTCCCAACCCCTGGGCTGTGAACTAGTACCAGTCCGTGGCCTGTTAGGAACCCAGGTTGCATAGCAGGGGAACAAAGCAGGAGGTGAGTGGTGGGTGACCAGCAAAGTTTCATATGTATTTACAGCTACTCCCCATCGTTCACATTACCACATAAATACTGCCTCTTGTCAGATCAGCGGCAGAGTTAGATTCTCATGGGAGCATGAACCCTACTGTAAACTGCACACACCAGGGATCTAGGTTGTGAGCTCCTTATGAGAATCTAACGCCTGATGATCTGAGGTAGAGCTGAGGCAGTGATGCTAGCTCTAGGGAGCAGCCGCAAATACAGATTATCGTTAGCAGAGAGGTTTGACTGCACAATAAATGTAATGTACTTGAATCATCTGGAAACCATCCTCCCTTTCCCCCACCCCCACCGTGGAAAAATTGTCTTCCATGATAACCAGTCCCTGGCACCAAAAAGGTTGGGGATTGCTGCTGTACAACATGAGGACTACAGGTAGTAAAACTGTACTATACATGACATTCATACTAAATGAATTCTTTTAACTGCTTTTGCCAGAAAAACAAATAAACAAAATGAGTAACTGAGATGATGGGTTTGTTTATTGCTTTAGTGTGCTAACCTTTTTTACTATGTATCCCATAACATCATGTTGAATAACTGAAATATAGACAATAAAAAAATTTTATTAAAAAAAAAAGAGAGAAATGGCCCAGTGCAATGGCTCATGCCTGTAATCCTAGCACTCTGGGAGGCTGAGGTGGGAGGATCACCTGAGGTCAGGAGTTTGGAACCAGCCAGAGCAAGAGCGAGACCCTGTCTCTACAAAAAATAGAAAACTTAGCAGGATGCAGTGGTGTGCACCTGTAGTCCCAGCTACTTGGGAGGCTGAGGCAGGAGGATCACTTGAGCCTAGGAGTGTGAGGTTGCAGTGAGCTATGCTGAGGCCACTGCACTCTAACCCGGGGCAACAAAGCAAGACCCTGTCTTCATAAATAAATCAATAAGAAAAGAGATAGACCCATAGCACAAATTCATTCAAGTGTAAATATTTTCTAGTAACTCTTCATACTTACTTTTTCAGGCGCCTGTTATATAAAAAATTGCTGGGCTTAACATCACGATGAACAATACCAAACTGATGAATGCGTTTCAAAGCTTTGAACAGATTAAACATATATTCCCGTACTTCTTGAAAGGAAAGAGAATTCAAAATGTCCTAAAAGGAATTTTATGAATAAGATGAGTTATGAATGAAAACTGTTTTCAATTAAATATTTAGCTAATAAAAATTCATGAAATATTAAAACCTACCAAAAAGGACTCATGCTCCAGATATGGCATAGCAATAACCACATGATCATTTTTCCTAAAGCAGTATTTAACTCCCATGACATTGTCTTGCCCCCTAGTGGAAAAAAGCACAATGAACTTTATAGGAAAGATCAAATGAACTGAAACTTTATGCCTAATTTTTTAAATGTAATTTTAGCAATATAAACATATTTGCTAGAAAACTGACTTAAAATCATCATCATAGAAGATAGTATAAACATTTAAGTGATTTGTATTAAAAAATTTTCTTTTAAAACAAAAATAGCACCAGTTATGAGCTTACTATAATTTAAACATGAGATAATTATAGTTTTAATTGGGGAAGTGGCAGAATGAGAAGGAAAGGAAATGATAAACAATAATGAACTGACATAGTAGCAGATAAGATGGTAATAGCAATAAATTTTAAAATAATAATAGCTAACATTTATTGAACATTCACTATATGCTAAGCTCTGATCTAAGCACTTCCCATCTATTAACAAATTCACTTAATCTTCACAACAACCCTTTAAAGGAGTTATTATTCCCTCCCCAGATAAAAAATTGAGACAAGAGGAAGGTAAGGAACTTCCCCAAGGTCACTAAACTCGTCAGTCATGGAGCCAGGATTTGAATCCAGGCAGTATGTATTTCAGATTTATGCTCTGAATCACACTACACTACTTCACAAAAGATGAGGAAAATAGGGTGAAGCTGATTTCCATGGTTGAGCCTAAGTAAAACAGTGTAGATACCAACAACGTAAGTAGAGAAACCAGAAAAAGAAACATCCTAAGTCTGACCTCATCATTTTGATAGAGATATCTAGATAAGAGACTAAAGTTTAGTCACTAAACTTGAGGAGTCAAATGAGAAGCCAGTAAGAATTACTTTCAGAGAAGTGATTATTAAAGTTGTGGAAATTAATAGAAAAAGGAAAACATTGAGCTTTGGAAAAAGTCTCAAGCTGGAGAGCAAAATCAGAAAGGGACACCAAGGTGACTTTTGAAGGAAGTGGGGATCAGTATGGAGGTCAAACACAATAAGGACCAAAGGAAGGCTGTCTGGCAAGGAGGAATTAACTGGTAATTTTCCAGAGACCAATTTAAGTGGAAAGGAAGAGGCAAAACAGGAGTTAAGGAGGGGAAATATGATGCATTGGAAGCAGAGCATAAAGACAATTTGCCTGATTGCATTGCAAAATCAGATGAAGACATTTTTAGCATGCACTTTTTTAAAGCACAGAGAAAGAAAAAGTGGTAGAGGGAGATATTTGAAATATGGAAAAAGGAATGATCACATTTAGAGGACTAGAATATATGCAATCATGCCTTAGAGAGGCCATCTTATCTTCTTGTCTTCTATAATGTAATAGAGGGGTTAAACAAACAAATAGGTTCATTCATTCATTCATTTGATAAATATTTAGTGGGCATTGTTATTTGCCTTTAGGGATTATAGACATTAGGGATGTAATGGTGAATAAAATTAACACAATTTCTGTCTTCATTGATTCTACTATTTAGTGGACAATACAGGTAATAAGGTGACTAATAATGACAGATTATAGCAAGGGTTTTGAAAGAAATCAAAAGGTGCTGTGACAATAAAAAAGATAGGAGAATCTAATTTAATTCAGATAAGACCTCTTTGAAGCAGTGACACTCTCATTCGGATCAGAAAGATTAAGAGTCAGTATGCAAAGACTGGGAGAGGTCTTCCCGAATGGGGAAATGATCTGGGCAGTGGCACTGATGTAAGAAAGCTCTTGAGACAAATTTGAAGAAGTAAAGAAGCTGGAGCACAGTGAAGGAGATAGGAAGACTGGCATAAGACTGAATTTTTTTTTTCGAAGTACACAGGGAAACCACTGAAAGATTTTAAGTGGTGGAACTAACATTATCCAGTTTATGTTACATGCATATACATTTTATACTTTCAAGATCCCATTCTGGCTGCTGTGTGAAGATGAAGTTAAGGGGGGAAGCCAAGAAGCAGGCTACAGTAGTAGTCCAGGCCTGGGCTGAGGTATTGGTGGAAAAAACAAAAGACACGGATGTATTTTAGATACATTCTGGACTCAGTGATGGATGTGGTTTAGGAGAGAAATGGAGAAACTAGGTTTCTGGCTTGATCAACTAGGTGGATGGTGGTGCCTTTTGTGGAAGTGGGTAGATGACAACAGTTGTTGTGATGGGTTTTTTGGGTATTTTTTGGAGGAGGAAAGTGAGTTAAAACTTAAGTTTTTGCCATATTAGGTTTGAGATACTTATCAGGTACTCAAGTGGAAATGTCAAATAGGTAGGTGAATAGATACAAATCTGCAGTTAAGATAAAAGGTCTGAGGTTAGATACATACTTTTGGGAATTGTTGCCATAAGTCACATGGAAATGTAGGATACTATGGAAGAATACAGAGAAAGAAAGCCCAAGATCAAGCACTGAGGAACTGCAACATTTACGGATGAGGTAGAAGAGGAAGAGCTGACAAAGATACTGAAAATGAAAGGCCAAAAAAAGAAGGAAGAAAACAAGGAGGGTGTGGCACTACAGAAGTCAAAAGACTAGGTTGAAAGCAATTATGTTAAATGACGCCTAGAGTCATGGTTGACTCTAACAAGTTTCAGTTTAGCATGGAGGAAAGTAGCGACAGTGAGTGCACATGTAGTGAAAGGGAGGTTTGGAAGTGAAAACAGTATTTGTAGATAATTTTTGAGAAGTCCGGCTGTGAAGGGGAGCAAAGAAATGATGGAGTAGCTGGAAGAGGAAGGGAAGTTCAGGAGGAATAAGATTCTAGATGGGGTCTACATGTCAATAGGAATGACCTAGCTGAGAGAAACTGAGGAGAAAGGCATACGAGATGATTCTGTTGTTCTAAAAAAAATATGCAATGAGATTACCAATAGCTGGGGAGACGTGAAATGTGAATTCCCCACATTTAAAAAAAAATTCTAAACTATGAAAGCCAAGGTTTATGATTTGGCAGAAAGGTTACAAAAAGAAGTGGTAAAAGAACAGGAAGTCAAGCTGAACCTCAAGGGAAATCCACTCTAAAAGAATTACTATAAATTTAACTAATTATTGCAAGGGTAGAGGAAAAGTACCAGCAAATGGCACACACTTGACTGAAAAATGTGTATGATTCATGTACAATCTCATTATCCCTCTTAAGCATCTACTTTAAAATCTTATAAATTATATACAATTAATAGTACAATTAAAATATCTTTAAATTGCCTACCCAGCTACTGTTAGGCACTGAAGTTCAGCTGCAATTCTTATAGGATGACTTGTTGGAATTAAGTGTTTTAGAGCAATCTTCTCTTCAGGTCCTACTCGTAACTGTGCTGTGGCCAAATAAACAGAGCTGAAAGTGCCTGTAAAACAATTTATTATATTTTTCAATTATTTCGTTTTTAAAAATGTTAGTGAAACAATGCTAAAATAGATTATCAAACTGTTTTAATGGTATAATAGGTTATATTTATTATTTATTCCTTCTTTCCAGGGGAAAAAAGAAAAGCTGTTATTATAAATAGTAATATAACCACGATCTTAATATTTAAAGAAGTGATACATTTTTCAATAAGAAATAGTAATGAAAACCAAGATTACACAAAGAAAACAGGAGGAAAATAAAACTTGTAAAAATAATAAAGTATATCCCCAAAGTACCTTCTCCAATTTTGTCCTTAATCTTAAACAAATTACCAAGCTGTGGTACAGCTTCATAAAGCTTCTCAATATCTTTTTTAATGCCTATCAGGGAAACAAGAATTTACAGTTATTATCAATGAGAGTATATTTTATAGTTTCCTAAACAAAAAAACTCAATGAAATAAATTCTAAAATATTAGTAATTAATTACAAATAAAAGTTTGAATAATCTTAAAATGACAATTAAAATTCCATCAAGTTGCTATAATTCACACACACCTCTTGAACAGACAAAAATGACAGTCCCAGAATTACACACGGCAAATTTCTACCACACTGGAATTACATACTAATGGATTCATTGTTATTGCACAGACTACAACACAATGAAGAAGCTAAACTTAAAAATAACTAAATATTTTGTGCTGTGATCACGAGATGGCATGACAAGGACACAATGCCCTTGAAAACTATTTCCTTCCCACAAAGATACAAAATCTTATAGGCTTGGAAAAGTTTTATTAATATATAATACTCACAGTATTCACTCAGAGAGGAGGCCTAAAGCTCGCAAGCATGTTAAAAATATTTTTAAAAATTTGTCCGAATTACTAGTACCCTCTAACCTTGATAGCAGATAAATTGTTACTTTTAAATAAATAAACATAAGCTCTTTATGAAAACATACATGGCTAACATAAGGGGAGGCAATAACACAAAATCCAATAAACTACTGGATACAAAAGAGTACTACGGGCCGGGCATGGTGACTCACGCCTGTAATCCTAGCACTCTGGGAGGCCGAGGCAGGTGGATCACTCAAGGTCAGGAGTTCGAGACCAGCCTGAGCAAGAGCAAGACCTCGTCTCTACTAAAAATAGAAAGAAATTATCTGGACAACTAAAAATATATATAGAGAAAAAATTAGCCGGGCATGGTGGCGCATGCCTGTAGTCCCAGCTACTCGGGAGGCTGAGGCAGGAGGATCCCTTGAGCCCAGGAGTTTGAGGTTGCTGTGAGCTAGGCTGACGCCACGGCACTCTAGCCTGGGCAACAGAGTGAGACTCTGTCTCAAAAAAAAAAAAGGTGTACTACATAAAAGTCTTCAGATTTTATTACAGTATCTAGGCCAAGCATCAGCTACTTTAAGTTATTATAATAATATTCTGCACAGCACAGCAGTTTAAGACATTTTCAAATCACTTTCACATCCATTATCTTTTCAGATTGTCACAATAGTACTGTGATATTGGCAGAACAGGAATTATTATCTTGATTTTTCAGGGAAGTTAAATAATTTGCCTAATTTCACAGAGGTATTGCTGATGTCTATAGAACTCATTTATTTAACAAACACTTAAAAAATGCTCAGCAATGGGCATATAAAAAATGAATAAATTTGGTGTAGCCACTGGGAGCTTAGGTCTAGTAGAGGAGACAGATGTTATCACACGTAATACAAGATGATAATTGTAATAAAGGAATGCATATATTATTAGGTTGGGGCAGGGGGAGATGAACACTTCCAAAGGTGCCAGGAAGCCTTCAGGGTTCAGGGGACAGCTAAGCTATATTCTGAAGCATTCACCAAATAGCACAAATATAAAAAGACATTTTAGGAAGAAGGAACTATGTATGCAAAGACATGGAAAAGGAAAAAGGCACAGATGATGCAGGAGGGGGAGAGGGCAGACAAATAATGAAATACAACGTGGCTGAGGAGGGGAAAAGTAGAGAATGCAAATGAAAGCCATGGAAAGTTTTTAAGCAGGACAAAGGACAAATAGACAATGGAAATGGACTTGAAGGGCAAGAGAAACATGAAGAGCTGGAGACCAAATAAGAAGCCGAGAAGATCTATTACAGTGTTCTTTCCATTATATCAACCCATCTAAGGAAATGGGAGGAACTTCTAACTTAAATTACCCTCACCTTCCCATCTGTTTCACAGGTGGACTATAAACCTTCATGGTTGGCTTTTTTGTTTGTTTGTTTGTTTTTTTGTTTGTCTTGCTCTGTCACCTGGACTAGAATACAGTGGCATGATCATAGTTCACTGCAACCTCAAAGTCCTGGACTCAAGTGATCCTCCTGGCTCAGCCTCCAGAGTAGCTAGGACCACAGGTACCTGCTACCATGCTTGACTAATTTTTTATTTTCCATAGAGAAGCAGGTCTCGCTATGTTGCCCAGGCTGGTCTCTAACTCCTGGCCTCAAGTGATTCTCCGGCCTGGGCTTCCCAAAGCTAGGATTAGAGGTATGAGACACTACCCCAGGTCTTCACGGATTTCAATTCAAGAGGCAATATAACATAGCAATTATGTGTGCCAGTTTGAAGACTGGAAGGGGAGGTTAAGTTAGAATCTTGGCTCCACTATTCACCAGCCAGTATGACTCTAAATCTTAGTTTTCTCCAACTACAGAAAAGGGATAATAATAGTACCCAGGCCATTTAGATATTGTGAGGATTAAATGAAATATATATAAGTAAAGCTTATAAAACAATGCCAGGCACATAGTAAATATTAAATAAATGACAGTGGTAACTTATTGTTGTAGTTACTGTTATTAACACTATTTCTTTAGGGCTTTTGCTCTCATCAGTCCTCTGCCTGAAATGCTCTTCCCTTGTAACTTCATGGGTTTGCTAATTGTCACAGCCCCCTCTGACATCCTACTTAAATTAGCATTCTTCCCATTACCCTATTTATTGTCTTCAGAGACTTATCCACTATAAAATTATCCTGTTTACTTATTTGTTCACTGTCTGCCCTCTTCCACTAGAATATAAACTCCATCAATACAGGTTTCCTGTCTGTATAATTCACCATGCTATATTATACTTAGCTCCTAGTTAGAACAGTACCTGGAACATTTGTTGAATAAATAATTACTATCATAATGGGCATCCAGAGACAGTTGGTAAAAAAAAAAGCAAAAGTTCTGAAGTCACAACAGAATAAAGCAAAAGACAATATCAACTACCTCACTATCAGCTATGACACTACTTCGCTCTAAAGCCAAAATCAAGGCCCAGGGGGAAAAAGTTGGCTTTCTAGCAGTCTACAGTTGCCATAGTCAATTATAATTTTTCCTTATGAGTGTCAATTCCAAACAGCTTCAAATTCCACAGTGTCACAAGGAAGGCACCATGAAGGGGTACTAATGGTTTGTTCAATTTGATATTACATTTCTTTGTCTCTAAGACAATTTTAACTCTGGAATTGGGATGCATGTTACAATTGTTGTCAGCCAGCATTAGAACTTACAGAATAGGTGTCAGTGACTTGAAGAAAAATCAGAGAAACATTCCTTTAACCCTTAAGAGCCAAATGGCTGTACGGAGGAGCAGTGGAGGTGGTGAAGCATGTAGGCTAGCTCCACATACTTGGGGTCTTCTTTTATTTTTTTTGAGACAGAGTCTCACTCTCTTGCCTGGGCTAGAGTGCCGTGGGGTCAGCCTAGCTCACAAAAACTTCAAACTCCTGGGCTCAAGAGATCCTACTGCCTCAGCCTCCCAGGTAGCTGGGACTACAGGCACGCACCACCGTGCCCGGTTAATTTTTTCTATTTTTAGTTGTTTGGCTAATTTCTTTCTATTTATAGTAGAGACAGGGTCTCGCTCTTGCTCAGGCTGGTCTCAAACTCCTGAGCTCAAGCAATCCTCCCGCCTCGGCCTCCCAGAGTGCTAGGCTTGGGCTCTTCTTAATAGCCCATTAACAATGGCTTTTTATTTTTTATTGGATTCTTCAAAGAAATACTGCATCGCTAATGTATTCAGAACAATATCATAAGGGGAAAACCGGGTATCAATGAATCTAAGTGCAAAAAGTGATTCTAAAGAGAAAGACCTGAAATGTTTATTTTCCTTTTTATTTACATACCAGAGGTATACAATTATTTGCCTAATGAGGTCTAAAATAATTCTTTCAATAAGTATAAAACAAAACAAATTCTAGAAGATAAGAAAGCACTATGTCATAGTGTAACTGGCATTTCTGAAAAGTACATAAAATAATGGTGCATCTTATAATCAATGGTGTTTAGATATGATGAAATATTTTAAGAACCCTGTTTGTAGTTGTTTTATTACTAATTGTATTCAAGTGTTTGTGTGCATATTTTGTTTTGTGTATGTGATTAATAATACTGAAAGCTTTGTAGTAGGATGATATAGTCATGCTGTCCACTAGTTCCATGTAGCTATTTAAACAAATTAAAATTAAAAATTATTTTCCTCAGTTACACTAACCACATGTGACAGTACAGAAACATTTCCATTATCACAGAAAGTTTTATTGGACAGTGTTAATACAGAGGACCCTAGAATCTAAAGATCTGGATTCAACTCTTGTCACAAACTATCAATTTCTTAACTTGTAAAACAAAGGGGTTGGATTAGACAAACTTTACCTTCCAACTGTAAGTCTATGGTTTTCCTATGAGCTCCACACTTGGGACTTTACCTAAGCATGAGTTAGTAGTTAGTAGTAGAGATACTGGTTTACTGTTAGAAATCACCAGAAAGAAAATATACGTAATGAGAAAACGCTGTAATGCACAAGCCATGTGAATGACTATGTAAGAATAATGTGCTTCTACACCGCTACTCACATCCTATGTACTTACCCATTTTTAAAAAACTCAAAATATGTTTAAGGTTTCCTGTCAATACAGAACAACTTCGATATTTTTAAACAGCAGTAAAATTTCCTAGAACCAAAGTGAATGCAATACCCTCAATTTCTGAAGTGGGAAATGAGAGCAGAGAGCACAAAAGAGCATTCATGTCACAAGTTGGACAACTCTGTTAAAGACACAGACAAATGAATACAACACTTTGAGGACTGGGGGAAGACCCTGAAAAGTCCATACCATGCTAAAAATTTATCTAAATGCCCATATTTTATACACGAGGGTCTAGGCTTCTATTTTGAAATTTTAAGTAAATTTTATTTTCTGCTACATAATATATATTAAAGTTGGCTTTAATATAGCAATAGCCCCCTTAACTACATTCCCTGCTTTTGTCCTTCCTGGCCCATAGTCTATTTGCAACACTGCAAGCAGTCAGAGTTATCCTGTTAAAGCTAAGTTACCCTGTCATCATTTTGCTCAAACTCTCTAATGGTTTCACATTTCATTCCATATAAAAGCCAAAGAACACTCCTTCTCTTTACAATCTCTCTTTGACTTTACTCCAATTACCCCCCTCTCCCCCATTCTAGCCACAATGACCTCTTCGCTATTCCAGAATGGTAGGCACACTCTCACCTCAGGGCCTTTGTAGTTGCTGTTTCCTCTGCCTGAAGTGCTCTTCCCCAAATATCTGCATAGCTCACTCCTTCACCACCTAGAAGTCTTAGCTCAAATGTTACCTCACTGAAGTCTTCTCTGACCAACTATACTTATTAAAATCAATCTCCTTCCCTGATACTTCCTATCTCCCTTTCCCTTCTGCATTATTTTCACAACAGTAATCACTTTTGAACATAATATTTCTTTTGTTTATTGTCTCTTTCCACTAGTTTGAGGGTGTTGATTTCTGTTTTACAAATTGATTTACTCCTAGCACCTAGAAAAGTATGTGCACATAAGAGATGCTTAGTAAGTGTTCATCATATAAATGAAGTTTTCAATATCTTATCACGGAGTAAAACTGACACTCCAGGAATACAGTCAAATTTATTTTGGGGCCTCATGTACTGTTTGATTTATACCTCCTCTAACTAGGGGATCATAAAATTTAGCTCAAACTGGTACACTCTTGAGAGTGAAAGGGAGTACCAACAATTACATTGTGACAACAGGTGTAAACTGGATCTGTCCTAGTCAAACTAAGACAGTACCTATAACCCCATTTTAGAAGCATGGGCTAAGGGCATCCATGTAACACATAGAAAGCCCGCCTTTCCATACAGATCAACAGTGTGGAGAAGATATTTAGTATATATTAATAACTAGTTTGTACTTCATTCTTTCACTGAACAGATCTTTCTCACTTACTAAACTTGGCATATATTAGATACTTTAAAAAAAAAGCCTGCTGAAACAATGAAAGAATAAACATTTGACCAATATTATGTCAGTTTGTGCACTGCAGTATTTTTCTTAATAGGAAAAAATGGAAAATGACCTAAAGGTCCAATAATAAAAAGTAATTAAATTATAGCATACTATATAATGGAACTTAAATCAAGTTGTAGAAAATTCAACTACATGAGAAATGTTTAAGATATATATTAAGCAAAAAATGGAGATTAGAAATGAGTGAAGATCCAGATTTAGTTTTTTAAAAATGTATCTAATTATGCATAGGAAGACTAAAGAAATATAACAAAATGTCAACGGTGGCAATATTTGAATAGTGGGAAAATACTTTATTTTGGCTTTCTATACTTCCTAAATTTTCTTCAATAAGCATGTATAATTTATATTAGAAAAATGTTATAAAAATCTGACAAACATCTCAAAACAAAATGCCAGGCTATTCATCCACTAAGTATTTTACTTTATATTCTAACATTAAATCATTCATTCAAATATTTTCAAGCACCTACTGTGTGCTGGACACTGTTAGGTTCTGGGAATGCAAAGATATATCAAAAACATGACTGACTTTCCCAATTAGATCAAAAGACAGTGATGTGCCTGGACCTCATCAGCTTTACTCCTTACTGAAATAATGTTTTTTACATAAACTTAGTTTTTATTAAGGGTCATATAAAAAAAGAACTATATGAGTAAAGTTTCAGCATGTTTTATAAATTATCATAGACATTATTTATAATGTTGTCCAATGTTCTGTTACATAAAGGCTATATAATACTTTTGAAATTTGGAATAAAATTCACTCCACTCTTAATTTCCCAGCAGATTTTCAGAATATTAGAATAGTAGCATTCTCCTGAACATAATGCTAGAGTCATCTATTCACACTCCACTTAAGGCACAAATATGTCAGAAACTATAAGAGATACTACCTTCAAGGAGCTTATAGTATAAACTGAAGAGTCAAAACACACAGTGCTATACAATACAAGAATAATACAATGACTGTGTTATTGTATTATGTGTCCAATGACTAATAAGGGAAAGCTAAACTGTGAAAACTAGGTAATTGTAAGAAAAATGGAAGGGAAGAGGAACAGCATCCATGTAACTGGATGAAAGTGGTATTTTAAGATTATTCTATTCTAGCTGTTCTTTGGAAGAGTAAATTTAAAAAAAAAAGATTACTCTAATAGCAGTGTACAGACGAACTGGAGGATGGAAAAGAAGTGAAAGCAGACAGTTTAGGTAAGAAACTTTGTAATTCAGTAACAAAGTGTAAGGAAATTAATTAATGTGGTGGAAAATGGGAATGGAAAGAAGATGCAATGCCATACATATTAAGAGGAAGATAAAGTTTGGTGACTGGATATGGGGAGTAAATAAAAAGCAAAAGCTGAAGATAACTCTAAAGTTTTAAGTATAGGTAAATGGGATAACAGTGGCTTTCATCAAAGTAAAAGTACGTGATGTCATATTTTTCTAGGGTGAGGTTAAAGTATTTTGTAGTGTATAAACTACATATCGTGGACGAAAGTTCAAAATTAATATCTTTTGGACAAGCACAAAATTCACTTAGGACAAAGATGGAAAAGAAGATTTAGCTACTTTTTAGGGGAAAAAACCACAGTCAACTGGAACTATTCTATTTAACAAACATTTATTAAGTGCCTACTAAGTCCCAGGCCCTATGCTAGAGCAGGAATGAAGATACACATTTTAGTGTACAAGAGCAGGTATTGCTTGACCCTTTCCTCCTCACCTCAAACAACACCTCATGATGTACACTGAGAGATGGTGCTTTATTATTGCTACAAACATTTCATTTATTTTTGTCAGTGAATTCTGCTTTTGAATATTTAAGTAAAGATTCTTTCAGGGTCCACTTCTAAATCCAAATTTAATGATAAGTAAAGATAAGAACATAGGTCTAGAAGAAGACAAATTCCAGGGTGGGCATCAACAAACTTTTGTGTTCTTAGACAGTCATTAATATTTCTGCCTTAGCAACTTCGCCTGTACAACAAGGTTGAATTACGATCCTCCTAAATGCAATTCGATCCCAAATCTAGATCTTACCAAGCTTTGTAAAATGCTTCTATATAAACATACAACTCACTTTAAAGATTCAATCAGTTATTTTTTTTAAAGCAATCGAAAACACAGAATTGCTGCCTGTACATCTTTGAAACCGTACATCTTTGGAATCAAACACATACCTGTAAGTTTAAAATTCGGCTCGTATTTTTTCACAGAGCCATCAGCCTGAAACAGGTCACCCGGGGGAGAAAAAGCCATTGGCTCATCCATCTGAATTCCCAAAGACGCCTCCACCACAAAACAACTGGGATGCAAAATAAGGGGTCACGTCCACAGGGGGAGCAAAGCAGCTGTGAAAATTACAATACTGGAGAAGTTGAGATCAGTTACTAAACCAAGCACTAAAAGATGCCACTGTCCTCAAAGGGGAAAACATTTTACAACGCACCATGTGTCTAAAAGCCCAAAAAAAGGAAAATTGTGGTCATTTCTAAGGAATTTCATTTACTTTACTTTCACCTTCTAGAATACCGGCAGGGAGCTGAAGGGAAAATTTCCCGTTGAGGGAGCCTCCTCAGCAGCCGGTGGCGGTGGGAAGTGGGGTTGGGGGCTGCTGCCGCGCACCAGCCTGCTGGACAGGGCGGGGTAGGGGGCAGTTTGACCCGAAGAAAAGGACTGAGAGGGGAAATCGTTTGACCACTGGAAGCGAGCGTCAGGAAGCTCGCCCGAGGCCCCACCCAAGTTACTGGAGAACTGACACGACACTGGCCACGAGCGCCGGGCGGAAAAGAGGAGGGAATGAATGGGAACCATGCGGGGAGCGCGGGCCGCGAGCTCGGCTGGGAAGGACCTTCTTCCTCAGACCGCGACCCAACCGGATGCTTAGTGCGCAAGCGCGCGACTTTCCCGCCGCAGGTCGAGGGATCGAAAGGGGCGGAGGACGGAAGGGGAACGGAACTGCACTGCGACAAAACCGAAGTCACGATCCAGAATTCGCTTCTAATCCCTCACAATCCCGCGCCATGGAACAAACCGTTGGAAACTCACGGTTTAAGAGAGTACGACTTCTGTGGCTCCCCAGATGCCTGGGTCGCCGCCTCCAAGAGCTCCCCGCCTAGCGAGTCGACCAAGTGCGCCTGCGCAACTCTTCCCGCCGCGCCGGTTCTAGTTGCTCATGCGCACTATGAAGGCCTCGGCGACGCGACTCCGCCACTGGGCGCTTGCGCAAGACCGTTGGGTTTCTTCCCCGGGGCCTTCGCGAACTAAAAGAGCGGTTGCAGAAATAAAGCCTTGGGATAATCCTTTCCTAAAAAATAGGGTGAACCATAAGGTTAAGGGCCCAACGCTATTTTCAGGAAAGACTATTTTCAGGAAAGACTTTCCAGAAAATCTCAGGTCCTGGAGTTGTGACACGTCCCCACATATTGTGGCCACACAAGACATTGGGCACTCTATGGATAAAAGATAGTCACTTTCTTGACTTTTTCTTACTTTTTGTTGAGTGCCCTACTTCTCCATTGAAAACAAACAAAAATTGCTGATTGTTTATGGCTGTACTAGAAATGAGCGCAGTGCAAGGCAGGCACACATTGTATAGTATTTATTGAGCCCTTAGCTACGAGGTAGGCAGATTTCTAGGAGCTGCGCTTACAGCGGGACAAACATCATCCCTCTATTAAGCTAAATTCCAGTGAGGTGGTGACAATAAATGAATGAATAAATGAACAATATTCTTTTAGGGTTTGATTGGTACTCTGAAGGAAATATTATAAAACGAAAGGATGCGGTAGTGACTAGGAAGGGGGCATCTTGATGAGATGATCAGGGAAGGCCCCCTCAGAGAAGAGACCCGGATGAAAAGGAGCTGATAGGGAGAGGCTATAGCCCAGGCAAAGGACGGAGCAAGTGCAGAGATAGGGAGGCGGGGAAAAAGGCCAGTGCTGGTGAAGCGTAGTGAGTTGGGGGGAATATAGTTGAGATGACGGTGGAAAGTTAGGCTGAAGCCAGACCATATACAGCTTTGAAAGCCAGGGTAAGAAGTTTGGCTTTTATTCTAAGTACAATGGGAAGCTATTTGAAAGTTTTAAAGCAGGGGAGTGATATGATCTGATAAGAATGGATTGTAGAGGGGCAAAAGTGGAAGGAGAAAAAATAGAAGGCTACTTCATATTTAGGAGAGAAAATAGTGTTTTGGACCAGAACTATGGTGAAAGAAAGAAGACAGTGGGAATCAGGGATTGACTGGCTGTGGAAGATGAGGAAAATGGCATCATTATGGTGAATCTCAGGTTTTGGGGTGAGAACGTCTGTGGATGCTCGTGCCACAAAGAAGGGAAGGCTGTAAAGTAAAGGTTTTTGGTTGGGTAAGGTGGGAGGAGAGTAAATCAAGAGTTCCGGTGCGGATACTGAGAAGAGAAAAGCAGACCATGACATCTAGGAAATGGCCTGGTACTACTAGGTTGGCTTGGTATTGCTTCGACCTGCCCTGGCAATCACAACTAAGCCTTGGTGTTCTTCTATTGAACGTAACAATTTTAGAGAACAGCAAGATCACACAAAGCCACTCTATGATTGTGATGGATCAAGACAAAAATAAGGTCACTCTGTAATTTTGTCTGAACACAAACAAAATGTAAACATTGTTCAAGCCACAAAAATGACCAAACATCTCCCTATCCTGGCTAATACGAGTGCCTGCTGCTTCTTTACCAATTATAATTTTAGTCTCAGTCTAGTCTTCTTTCCTTCTAGATAATTCTTATTAAAATACCCAATTATAGAATTATCCCTGCTTCCTTACAGCTTCTAATCCAGACCAAAATTCCTCTTCCCTGAACCCTTATATAAATCACCTAACACAAGCTCAAATTCTACACGTCCTTTCTAACACATTCTTGCTGAGATGTCCCATTGTTTCCATGGTATGTATTCTCATTTACTGAAACAAGTAATAAACCCAATTTGTTCAGCTATGGTTATGTTCCTGATGGTCTTTGTCTGGAGGACATTGACAATAATCAAGTCCAAGATGCCTATTAGATATGCAAGTGATGATGTCAAGTAAACAGATGAATATATTGATCTGGAATATAGTTTAGGCTGATGATATAAATTTGGCAGTTATGAATTTACAGAATTTGGAGGATTGCTTGAGCCCACGTGTTCAAGACCAGTCTGGGCAATAGAGTGAGACCCTGTCTCTACCAAAAATTAGCCAGGTGTGGTGGTGTGCACCTGTAGTCCCAGCTACTCAGAAGGCTGAGGCAGGAGGATGGCTTGAGCCCAGAAGTTTGAAGCTACAGTTTGCTATGATCATGCCACTGCACTCCAGCTTGGGCAACAGAGCAAGACCCTGTCTCTTAAAAAAAGGAAAATAAAAGAGAATTAATATGTGAAAAGAAAACTATGCTACTTTAATCTTAGATTAGTCTAGATTTCTGTAGGGAAGGGATAAAGGAGATGGGGGAGAAAATGGGGGCCTTCACTTCAAACAGGGATGAAGACGGAGGTTGGTAAGTCCTGTCTCTGGATAGGGAAGTGGAAAACTTAAGAGGAGAATGACTGGGCAGTGCTTATAGGAAGATTGGCTCTCAGGAGCAAGGGACCAGGTGGGCTGAACAATGGGCATCTCATTATTAACAAATGTCTTCCCCAGGCTTTTGGTGCTGCATAAGACACTTCCTTGGACCTCTGCAGGATCTTGGCAAGGGTTGGAGGGGATGTAGATAATGAATTTCCTACTGTCTCAGTAGAATAGTGGCTCAGAGGTAAGTTAAATTGATTCAGATAAAGAAATTTGTCGGCCGGGCGTGGTGGCTCACGCCTGTAATCCTAGCTCTCTGGGAGGCCGAGACGGGCGGATTGTTTGAGCTCAGGAGTTCGAAACCAGCCTGAGCAAGAGTGAGACCCCGTCTCTACTAAAAATAGAAAGAAATTAATTGGACAACTAAAAATATATAGAAGAAATTAGCCGGGCATGGTGGCACATGCCTGTAGTCCCAGCTACTTGGGAGGCTGAGGCAGGAGGATCGCTTGAGCCCAGGAGTTTGAGGTTGCTGTGAGCGAGGATGACGCCACGGCACTCTAGCCTGGGCAACACAGTGAGACTCTGTCTCAAAAAAAAAAAAAGAAATTTGTCATTTTTTTTGAATAGCTGAATTGGAAATAGAAGTTGTCAGGACAGTAGATGAGTAGGGACTTTAATTCTAGACTTTATGTCCCAAAACCTGTGTATTTTCTGTTGAGGAAGGGATAAAGTTAGAGGACAATTAGCTGTTCTCTACCTGAGCTGGGGCCCAGGTAGTATATAGCATCAAATCCTCCTGTTTATCTAGTTGTTTCAAAATCCCCTACCTTGTTCTGAAGCAGTTGTCAGCAAAACTCTTCTCACTCCTTGACACACAACAGTCTCAAAACCTTTTACTCCTGATTGCTAAATAAAGCAGAAATGTTCATTTGACAAAGATTAAGTTAGGACTGTCCTCCAAGGTGACTAAGAGTGACTTCCACAGTGTCACAGTCACACAGTCCTGGGTAAAAGAATAAACTTATTGGGAAAAGTTATTAACTAAGGATTAGCAAGAGAAGCCATGGACCTGTTTTTGCCAGTGGTGGGTCTGTGTTAGGCAAAGGGATGCTGCCCTCCTATTGTTCTCCTTTCTTATAAGGAACACACAACAACAATCTTATTAGTGGAGTTCAAACTACTTAGGCACCAGATAGTCTATGTTTAGATGCCAAGTGATGATGGGTTGTCTGGGAAAACCAGATGTCCAGCAACTGGAGACCTTGGGGCCTGTGGAAATTGGAGGTGGGTGCTGCCTCTCACTTTGGGAGAAATGGGGAGTCCCTGGTCAGTTGTACAGTCAACTCAGAATAAGTTCCCAACACAACTTTCAAATAATTCTGCTTATCTGCTTATCTTTCTCTCCATGGAGGTACCTGCTAAAGGACCTTCCTCCACTCAACAAAAAAAAAAAGAAAGAAACATCTAACTACAAAAGGAAAAGTTACTGGGAGTTTTATCCACCTCTCCCCTTTTTTTTTACCTCCCCTACTAAGCTGAAACAAATAACTGAAGCACTCTCTTAGAAACTCCTCAAAGATAGGCCACCTAGGATAAAGGTAAAGCAAATATATAACTCTTGAATATGAATAGTAATTTTCTCTCAGGGCAATAGTCTAGTAAATAAAAAATTCCCAGTTATAAAATAAAATCCTAGCCATTCACTGTAAAATAGACACAGGGCAAAACACAGAATTTCATGGGAAACATTTTTTACTTCAAAAATAAAGTTATAAATCATATAAAAATCAAAGCCAGGCACAGTCGTGCTTGCCTGTAGTCCCAGCTACTCATAAGGCTGAGGCATAAAGATCGCTTGAGCCCAGGAGTTTGAGGCCAGCCTGGACAACATTTCAAAAAATATATGTTAGAAGTAATAAAATAGTTCAGTGTCGCTCCATGAATTAATATCAAACATGTTTGGGGATAGGATTTGTCTTAGGAGTTTTGCTAAGCTTTGCCCTGAAGGAATATGTGAACGTGTTGGTTTGCATTTGGAAGGGCATCTCTGAAAGACAGTAGCAGCTGTATCCCACAAGGTACTGCGTTTCTCAGACCTAAAGGTTTGGATTTACTTTGTAAAGCACAAGTGAATCTGTTAAAAACTACAGGCTGAGAGCTGACAATGGAGTGCCCCCCGGAACACAGACAGCTGCCCGAATGGCTAAAAGCAAAGCTCTTGTTTAAACCACTCTAGACTACCTGTCTCCATTCACAATAACCTAATAAACATGGAGCCAACATATCTCTGTTTAACCCCTCTGTTAAATGATAAACTTACCTTAGAACTTAGAAGTTAACCTTTGAAAGATTTTGTAACCGTTTGCTCACATAGATAGAATTAGTTAAAGAATCTGTAGAAGCCTTCTGTAGAAGCTTTTGAAAATCTGTTAACCTGAGAGGAACTACCTGCTGTTATGTAAATCTGTTACCCCTGGCAATTATTCACTATTCCCTATAAGTTACCATGTAAGACCTCATTCAGGGCTTTTGAGATCCAC